TTCTTTCTAAGTAGGCTTCACACCGAGTGCAGAGCCCAATGCAGAGCTTGAACTCACGACTCTAAGATGTTAATGGTGTTGCCTGGAGTAGGTTGAGGTGTGCCCTGCTGGGTGGTTGTGCATCAGTGGGAAGGTAGGGGGTGTTGGGTTTGCTAGTGTTCCTTGTATAGGAATTGTGACTCCCCGTGTCTGGGAAGGAGGGATGGCATCCTTAAGTTCAGTCTGCTACTTTTTGTTTTTTAAGTGTATTTATTTATTTTGAGAGAGCGAGAGAAAGCACATGAGCGCACACGCTAGCAGGGGAGGGGCAGAGAGAGAGAGAGTCCCAGTGTAGAGCCCAGTGCAGGTCTCAAACTCATGAACTGAGAGATCATGACCTGAAGTGAAATCAAGAGTCAAGATGCTTAACCGACCGAGCTGCCCAGGCACCAGCCAGTCTGCTGCTTTCCTTCGTGCGCCTTTCCAGCAGGCCCTGTGTGAGTTGCCCGGTGAGGCGGTCAGTGGTTGTGTGGGGGACAGAAGGGGGAGAGGCCCCGGGGGCCTGTGGTCCAGCCAGACCTTCTGCTGGTCCTCTTCTGCCCCAGTTCCTTCACACCTTCCGAGGAGTGGGGCCCCCTGCCCTCGGAGCCTCCCTGGGCTTCTGCAGAGGGAGCTGTGTTTCTTGCTGGGACTGGTGGCTCTGCCCCCTCCACCCCCTGCTGCCCCTCCAGTCAGACCTGGAACAGCCCATCTCACTGTTCTCAACCTGCTTCCGCCCGTCCGTTTGCTTTGCTGCTTCTCACATTGGCTGACTTCTGTTCGGTGCAGTTTCTACCTTGTCTTCTTTGCCCTTGTGGGTTTCTGCTTTTGTTAAACAAGCAAACCACAAAATTCTTTGTCAGTTTAGTGGGGTTGTTGAAGGAAGTAGAGGCAGACATCCGTGGTTAAGCCGTCATCGGTGCCTGAGGTGCACACTGTCTATTAAGTTAGCTGCCCACTTTGGTTTTCTGTGTTTGTTGACCTCAGCCTTGGAGCTTCTCGGACGTTCTCGCGAATGGGCTACTTCTCACGGGCCGTGTTCCGGCTGTGACTCTCCCTGCCCCGTTTTTGTGATCATCGGTCCAGCTCATTGTCTGGGATTCTTCAGCCTTCCTGGCCTGTTGCTGTCTCCCTTTCTTGTTTCTTGGAACTCTCGTTATATTCATTTATTCATTCATTTGCTTTGGTTTCTGAATAGCTTCTCTGTTCTCTCAGTTAAGACCTTGGGAAGCTGGGAGGGAGATCTATGTGCCCGGCCCGCTGTCTCTGGCTGGAAGCGTGAGCTGGTCAGAGCTTAGCCTGATTGGCAATAATTTGCATCTTCTTACTTACCTTTCAGCTGACGTAGCCCAGCAGTTCCAGTACGCAGTGCGGGTTATTGGCAGCAACTTTGCCCCAACCGTCGAAAGAGATGAATTTCTCGTAGCCGAAAAAATCAAGAAAGAACGTACGTATTTTTCTTCAGCGCTACCAGGTGTTGGATTCTGAAACTTGTATACATGCATATGCGTATGTATCTCTGTGCATGTGTATGTGTGGTCCCCAAGCACAGTGTGATTATAAGTACTATCACGTATATGTAAAAACATGTGTTAACAATATGCACAACTTCGTTCTGATTTTTATCAGAACATAGTGCAATGTTTATTTTTGAGAGAGAGAGACAGAAAGCAAGCAAGGGAGAGGCTGAGAGAGGGAGACGCAGCATCCGAAGCAGGCTCCAGGCTCTGAGCTGTCAGCATAGAGCCCGACGTGGGGCTTGAACCCACGAACCATGAGATCATGACCTGAGCCGAAGTCGGACACTTAACCGACTGAGCCACTCAGGCTCCCTGAGGATTGTTTTAAATACTATAGAACTGAATAATTTGAGAGTGTGAGGAAGATAAAAGGGCTTCATGTATTTTCCTGTATATCTTTTGATTTGCAGTATTTAATATTATGCACCTTTGACCACATGTCCTAGAACACTGTGTTGGCAGTGAAGAGGTCAGTATGGTTTCTGGGGATTGTCAGTATACAAACTTCTAATACCTTAGAATGGTCTTTGTGAACATTTTCATTCTGGGCTGATACTGAAAGCTTTCTTAAACGTCATTACCTTGGACAAGAAAGCTCTCATTTACTCGCACCGGGGTGCTGGTGTGTGCTCTGTGTGAGGTGGCGCTTTGCTGCCCTCTGCCCTGCGGGACTGTGTGAGGGAGGGAGGCTTGGAGCACAGGTACCCACGTGCAAATATTTCTCTTGTGCTGGTTGGAGGGTTGTTTTTCTCCAAAGACCAGTTCCCAGCCCCTCACAGTTCTCTGGGCTCCGCGCCAGGAAAGCAGGCCCTGTCAGCGCGTTCTCCTTGCTGAGGCCTGGCTGTCCACTGCCCAGACGCAATGGGCTTTGCACTTTGACTGTGCTGGCAAACTGGTGGTGACGCCGTCTAGAATTTCTATTCTTCACGGCACGGTTCGCCACCCTCAGCTGGTGCTTGGTTCACTGGGTTTGGCCGGTGGTCTGTGACGTCCTGCTGCACGGTGCGTAACCGAGCTGGACGGGAGGCGGTCCTGACGCGCGAGTGCTTGGACCTTGCGGTCCTCGCCCCAGCACGCTTGGGCCCCGTGAGCAGTCAGGGGTGAAGTGCCCGTCCACTGAGGTAACTCAGCCCCTGGTGTTATGCAGCGTGATGTGTTATTTAACGTAGGGGCTGGAGTATTTATCCCGCTATTAACCTCTAAAAACTTATTTTTATTCAGTAAATAAAACTAAACGTAAGAATGCTGTACTCTTTCTGAACCCTGATGACTATTAATTACATCTCAAATCGTTCTTATATGTCAGACTGTAGATGAGCGACCACCCCAGCTGTTAGGTCTGTGTTCACAGAACCTTCCCTTTGCAGCTTGACGTTTCGAAGCCACCTGGTGAGCACATTACCTGTGTAGTAGTTAAAAATAAAGTTTGTCTAGGGGCGCCTAGGTGGCGCAGTCGGTTAAGCGTCCGACTTCAGCCAGGTCACGATCTCGCGGTCCGGGAGTTCGAGCCCCGCATCAGGCCCTGGGCTGATGGCTCAGAGCCTGGAGCCTGTTTCCGATTCTGTGTCTCCCTCTCTCTCTGCCCCTCCCCCGTTCATGCTCTGTCTCTCTCTGTCCCAAAAATAAATAAACGTTGAAAAAAAAATTTAAAAAAAAAAAAATAAAGTTTGTCTAGGCTGAGAATTACGGAACTGGCAGTGACGTTGTTGGAGTGGATACGGCAAGGAAATCTTGGACTTTCTTGAAGAAGAAAGCTGTATCCGTCACAGTTTGGTTTTTTCTGGTGTATCCTCTGTGTTTTTGAAGAAAGACCTGTATCTTGCCACAGTGCGCCTCCCTGCCCCTCTCTGCCTCTTACCACCGAGTGCCCGCCACTCCTCTCGGACACCGTCCCTGGACCCTGCTGTGGGGCGGCCCCGCCGTGGGGACAGCATCACCCTCTCTGGGCCTGCCGTGGGGAGAGCGTCACCCTCCCTGGGCCCCGGGTCCGGGGCGGCCCCGCTGTGGGGAGAGCGTGTCTGATGGTCTTTTCATGTAATGGTCACCACCGAGTTCTTGTACTTCGTATTTGGTTAATTCTTAGATACAGTGTTTACATTTTAGCACTTTTGAAATTTGATTACAGTTTTTGGTAGATATGCTGAGTTGGGGTAGTTCTGGCCTCTTGAACAACACAAAATAATTTTCTATTTTATATGGCCCCCTTAGAATATAAAACGGTAGTGTGTATTATATTGCAACAAATTGTAAAACTTCTCATGTGTGACAAAATTTAACACCTATTTGTTTTTTAATGTTTCATGTTGGTCAGTGGGGTACCTTGTAACTAAAGATTTGTTTTGCAATCTATTAGGTAAAACATTTTTGGGGGTAAATATTCTGTTTATTTTTATTTGTATTATTTACTGTTTCATTGTCCCATGGTTATTTTGTATCTGTGCATTAGTATTGATCTCATTCTGTCATTCTGTAGAAAGAACCTCTCTTAATTTTTTTTTGTTGTTGTTTTTAATTTGAGAGAGAGAGAGCGCTAGTTAGCACTCACGAGTTGGGGGGAGGTGGGCAGAGGGAGAGAATCCTAAGCAGGCCTCATGCTCAGCATGGAGTCCAATGCAGGGCTCGAGCCCACAACCCTGGGATCATGACCTGAGCCAAAGTCAAGAGTCAGATGCTCATCTGATTGAGCCACCCAGGTGCCCCAGAGCATCTCTTGCTTAATTTAATGACTGTATTAATTTGGAGTATTTTTATATGTTTTTAAAGGGAGTAAATTATATTATTAAATGTTAATTGCATTTGTTTAGTTTAATGCATTTTGTAACAACACATTAAAAATTAAAAATTTTTTTAAAATTTATTTTAGGGAGTGCATGCACCTACTCGGCATGGGGGGAGAAGGGTCAGAGAGAGAGGGCGAGAGAGTCTCACATAGGCTCCACACTGCCAGTGCAGAGCCTGACACGAGGCTCGATCTCACAACCCTGGGATCATGACTTGAGCCCAAGTCGAGTTGGATGCTCAGCCGACTGTGCCCCCCAGGCGCCCAGTAAACAGGACATACGTGTTAAAGAGAGCCTTACCTTTGTGCACAGGCAGACCTGACATGTGAACGGGATGATGTAACCTCTGGTGTGTGGTTCACAAGAGCAGAACATGAATACCAGGACCCTTTCCTGGCGATACAGGTGAAAAAGTATTGGCCATCACACCAGTCACTGTCTTTCTGCAAACCAGTTTAGAGTTAAGTGAACTTGGCTGTTGGGATTTTAAGAAACGAGTCCTGCTGGGTGATTCCCTGGAGACTGGAGAAACTGTTAGCTAGATTTCGAAAGTGGTGCCTTTTCTGCTGTGGCAGGTATGGGGCAGGTATGGGGTTCCTGTGAGGGGCACTTGTGTGTACATGGTATGTGCAGGGTTGTGGGTGTGGGCGAGTGTGGCCCTCTCCTTTGGGGCCCAGGTCCAATGTGGAGTCTCGTCCTTTGTGGAACCGATTGGAGCATGGGCTTTGCGGGCATTACTGTGGCTTCCGGGGAACTAGTGAGTGTAGCTGCAGGCGTCTGAAGACATTTACTAATATTGCTGTGCGTGTTAACAGAAATGCTTAGAATGTGTGGTTTTAGGTCAAGCTATCATGAATGATAGGCTTGTTGGTTATTGCCCTTTGAATTTACCATTCCCAAGGTATTTTTACTTTACATCTGCCCTTCCAGTAGCCATCGACTAGTTAACCTGGTGGTAGCTTGCCCCACTGGATTGCCTGTTCATATTGGTGGGTAGAATCTAAAAGGTCCCATCGTTTCTGTTACTTCAGCTAACTTTCTCATAGACTCTGATTCCAGTCTAATACTGTCAGCATTTTGCAAATGTCAGATCAAAGGAATTGACCAAATTCACGGAGCCGAAATGTCACTCATTATTCTGATTCTTAAGCTCAGGATTCTTTTCAGACTTCAGCTACCTGTGACCGTGGGTGAAATAGTGTCCTAGAAGGAGTTTTGGTGTAGGTGACTAACACGTCGCTTTCTTTTCTAACTTTTCAGTTATTCGGCAGAGAAGAGAAGCGGACGCTGCGTTGTTTTCAGAGCTCCACAGAAAGCTTCACTCACAGGTAGCGTGCACTCCACTACCCGTGAGGCTGTCGGGCTGGTTTGGGGATGTGGGGACTTTTTTTTGTGGGATCACATTAAACCTTTCTGTGCTGAGTAGTGGATCTTCATTGTAGATTGTGTTTGCTTTTGAAGAGATTTTCGAGATTAAAAGTAGGTTTGAGCTGGATTTAATGGGAAATTGCTTATGAAGGTGGAGGAAGCTACATTGGGAAAGCAACCAGAATGAGGTAGCCCTCAGTTCGTGTGACGGAAGGCTGCGCATGCGGTAGGAAGCTGGTAGAAACCTCGACTCGGCTGCATGTAAGGTGACAGCTCGACTTCTCCGTTATTATTCCTCAGGCCCTAATTTGTGCTGTTGTAGTGAATGACCTAAAACAGTTCTGATTTTGAACATTTTGTGATTGATTGTTGATGACTTGGCCACAAGTGGTTTTCTGACCTGTTATTTTTGGAGAAGACGCTGCCCTTCTGGACACCAATAAATTCACTGAATTACAGGGTGAGAGCTTGGTCCATCTGTCTCCCTCCTGCCGCAGAGAAGAACGTGAAATCCCAAGTTTCGTGCTTTGCTCATCCAGTACTGAGTTCGCGGTACAGCGATCAAAATCCCCGAGTTGTGCCTAAGGCTGCTAGTGATTAAACTCTTAACTCTTCCAAGTTTTTCTCCTCCTTTCTAACTTAAAATGGTTGTTTTCCAAAACTTTGTTTGGAACACTGAGTGCTTATTCCTGAGCAGTGTGGTGAAGCAGAGCTGGCTTCCTAGGGCTCTCGCCCCCAGAAGCAGTGCGTGGTTCGGCCGGTGGCTGACACGGGATGAACAATGTGAGGACACGATAGTACAGCGCTAGTAATTAACCAGATGAGGAACATACGTGCAGATGAACAGCCGGCCCATCTTTGTGCTAAAACATCCAGTTCTTGGTTTCCCTGTTCTGTCCTCTCTCCTCACTGGGTACCCTTCTCGGCAGTGCATGCCGTGCGAGGTGTGGCGGGGGGCTGCAGGTGAGGTCTGGGCAGGATCAGGGAGGTGATGGAGGCCTGTGGTGCAGTGTGGAGTGGTCGGGGAAGGGGTCCCAGTGGTCCTGGGCTGCAGTCTTCAGTGTGGTTGACGGAGCTGTGGACAGAGGAGGATGGCTGTCTGGGGGAGGGCAGCCCGTGCCTTGTGGAGGGCGCCGGGAGAAGGGCAGGCATGAGGGGGTGGCGTGGGCAGCGGTGAGGGTCTTGGAGGAGGTGAACCTTGGCAGGCGGGGTATGGACGCTGGAAGAAGCTAGGTGTCTAACTGCTTCACAGACCCACTTGTGTGGGTGTTCCTCCAGATCTTACAGTGCCCTGGCGTGCATTCTGACATTTAGAATTCGATACGTGCGTACATTTAAAGTCTGGAGTCTGAATCAAGGTCCTTAGATTTCAAAATCTAAAATAATGGGGTCTGAAGTGGTTTAGAAGCATTGAAACGTCTGTGATGCTGGAGTCGTTCAGCCCGCTTGCCCCAGCAGATCTCTTTCTCCACCCTTCCCTGCCCTGCTTTGGGCTCGGGATGGCCCCCCTGGGGCTCCCTTGTCCCTTCTCTGCCCTGCTTCGGGGTGTCTTCACTCAGAACTGATGGGGCGGGAGGGGAGTGAGGCCAAGCCGCCCTCCTCCTGACAGGCAGTGGCTTGGCAGTGGCTCTGCTGTGCCGCTGGGCCCCGCGGACCGTTCCCCTGCCCGCGCCCTGCACCCCCGGCTCATTCGCTCTGGTGGCCCATCTCCTCCCTGGTCCCTCAGGCCTCCATCCTGGCCGTGGTCCCTGCCGGCGTTGTGCCATCCTGTTTTCCTGGTCCATCCACGCCTCTGCGCAGTCCCTCCGTCAGACGCTCTCCAGGCCCAGCCTGCGTGTTTACATACCTGTTCTTATGGTAAAAGAATACTGCCTCCTCCTTTAAAAATGCCATTTGCTGATTGTTTTTGGTGTATGATTTTGTTTGGATTTGGAATTTTTTCTGCTCTCCACCCCATAAATTGTCCTTATTTTTCTAAAGCAAGAACTGAGGCTCTAACCCAGAACTCGCTGCCCAGAGGGACCTCCTGTTGCCTTCCTGATGCCTTCTGGGCATCTCTACGCACATGCCCCTCAGGAAACTCCCACAAGGCCTTGCAGCTTGACATTCTCAGAACTGAAAGTAGCATTTTTTGTCTTTTTCCATACTCCAGGCATCCGTTCACATGCACCCACGCACACCCCTGCCCTTCCCCATTTTCTGGCGAATGATGACATTGTTCCAGTGCCAAAAGCTGGAAACCCGAATGTCACGTCGACTCCACCACTCTCCCCAAATTCGCTCTGTCCCCAAGCCTTATTAATTGTTCTCTCAAGCATGCCTCTCTCCTGTGCCATCTGGAGTCCGGCGCCCTGCGGTTGGCCTCCCAGTGCACAGCTTGGTGATTTTGGTAGGGGAGTTAGGTGCTCACCTTTGCTTCTGCCCACGTCCCAGAGTGGTGGTGAGGGTGCAGGAGGAGGCATGTGGGAGGGCGTCCATCCCACGGGGCCCTCCTTTCCACGGCAGCAACGGGAGCTCATCTGCCTCCAACCCTTCAGGGAGACGGGAGGCAGGAGGATGGGCTTCGGCCCTCGGTGCTGCACCCGAGGGGTCACCTAGCCCTGGGAGCCCGGGACCTGCTCACAGGGGACTGTGAAGGTTCCCTGGGTGGGTCCCCAGTCACCAAATGCCAGCTGGCCCTTGGCCCTTTCCTCCCAAATGACTGCGTCTCCTTTTGTGTCCTCTGCAGTCCAGCCTCCTGGGCCTGGCCGCAGGTGCAGTCACACCTTCAGGGGCTCCCTGTGGTCAGTCTTTCTGGTCCCGCACGTGAGACCCCTCTGACCTGATGCTTCATTCCGTTTTCCGTTCCGTCTCCTGCGTGGCTGTGGCCAGGTGTACCTGTCTTCGTTCCCTAAGATACATTTCCTTCCGTGCCTGCCCCTTCCTGTGCGTGTGCTCCTCCCACCCTTCTCGAAGACCCCGTCCTCTCTGGGGGTCCTTTCATCAGCCTGGGCCACTTGAGTGACCCTCCTCTCTCTGAAATGTCCCGTACCTACCGAAGTGTGTTTGCTCATTTGTCTGTTTGCTGTCTGTTTGTTGGGGTCTCTTTGTTCCCCGTGTTGTGCTAGCTGGGCAGTTTATCATTTCTGGAAAATTGTGTGTAATTCAGATTTTTAAAGTTAGACCGTAATTTAAATACCTGAGATAAGCTTTTTCTTTAAAGAAACTTTCAAGGAATATTCTCTATAATGAGGACCTTGTGTAAAGTAAGCAGCCATCCCATAATGTGTTTTGTAAATAAAGTTATTTTTGTATTCTAGCGTGTGCGTCCCAGAGGTAAGGCCGTGAGAAGAGAGTAGAAACGCTCTGCAAACTCGAGTTTGCACGTGACTGGAGGGTGGGCTGTTGTCAGGGCTGTGAGTCAGGGCGGAGCAGTAGACAGTCCATGCAATCCGTGTGCTAATTACCCAGAAAACTGGGGTTTCTTGTCTACCACTCTTACTTTGGAACCTCGAGTTAGGTGTGCAGCATGCCGACTTACATCGTGTGCTTTACAATTTCTCTTTTTTTTCTTTCTTTAATCCTCTATGGCCTACACGGGACTTTGGTAAAAGGGGAAAAAAGCGTTCACCTATTTTATGATGGCATTTGTCTTAAAACGACTATGTTTAGGAAGTTGGTTATTCTAAGAATTATTTTAAGGGGAAATGCTATTATTCAGGAATAGGGTAGTTTAAAAACATGTTCTCATTGGGGACTTTGGAGTTAGTTTTCAGCGGGTGAAATGATCCAAGGGTAATGACCTCTTGAGAATAGGGTTTGTAGCTTTGTAATGGGTGGCACTGTTTGCAATACCTGAAAAATGAACAACTTTAGATATGCTGTTACCGTGTGAATGTATTTATTTTTTTGGTTTTGATTAACTTCTGTGTACCAAGTACAGTTCTACATTTAATTTTTATTTTGTTTTATTTTATCTTACTATGTTTTTAATTTACATCCATGTTAGTTAACGTATGGTGTAATGATGATTTCAGGAGTCGAGTTGAGTGACACATCACTTACATACAACACCCAGTGCTACCATGTGGCTTTTAAAATACATTTCCGTTTTGGAAATAAGGATAATTGAGGAGAAAGTTACATGAAACTGGAGAGCAGTACAAAGTTATTCTGTTAATGTTTTCTTTTTAAACAGGGAGTTTTGAAAAATAAATGGTCAATTCTCTACCTCTTGCTCAGCCTTAGTGAGGATCCACGCAAGCAGCCAAACAAGGTGAGAGAGAGGCTGTCCTCACAGCCAGCGCCCTTCGCGAAGCAGCTTCCGTCTTGTCGGCACAGCCATGCCCAATCGTGACAGGAATCGGCTTCTGTACTTAAGAAAATAGTAACTTGTCTGGTTGATTTTGTTTTCTTTCTTTCTTTCTTTCTTTCTTTCTTTCTTTCTTTCTTTCTCTCTCTCTCTCTCTCTCTCTCTCTCTCTTTCTTTCTTTCTTTCGTCAGTGTACTGCTTTTCCTTAAGGTGTTTTCCAGGGTTGTTATTACCTCAAATACAACAGTGTCCCAGGGATGCCAGGGGGGCTCAGTCGGTTAGGCATCCGACTCCTGATCTCGGCTCAGGTCATGATCTCACGGTTCGTGAGTTCGAACCCTGCGTCCTTTGCACTGACAGTACGGAGCCTGCTTGGGAGTCTCTCCCGCCCTCTCATGCTCTCTCGCTCACTCTCGCAAAATAAATTTTTTAAGAACAGTACCAAATCAATTACAGAAAGAACTAAAACTTGCGTATAAATCATCTCTGTTGATTTAGGAAGTGTTCTGTGATTTCATATCTCTCTATTCTTTTCAGGTCTCCAGTTATGCTGCGTTATTTGCTCAAGCGTTGCCGAGAGATGCGCACTCGACTCCCTACTACTACGCCAGGCCGCAGACGCTCCCGCTGAACTACCAGGACCGCGGCACACAGTCGGCACAGAGCTCGGGCAGCGTGGGGAGCAGCGGCATCAGCAGTATTGGCGTGTACGCCCTGAATGGCCCGACCCCACCGCCACAGTCTCTCCTGCCGGGGTGAGTCGGGCTCGCGGGCATAGGCTGCTTATCAGCAGTAGAAATAGCAGAATCCTCAGGTTTGTAGGAAGGCATTTTGTGTGTTCACTGAAACTATCTTTAGGGCCTCTATGTGCCAGAAATGTTCCAGGCACTGTGTCTGATATGCTTTCTCCTAGGATTTTATTCTTCCCCAAAACTCTTGTTTCACAGGGGAATTCTTCCCACTTCTAGTCATGGTTGACTGTAATGATTTTTGGCCAAACCTTTCCCTGTTAATGCAAGTGCATATTAGTGAAGGCCCCCGTTCAGAAGCGTAATAGGATGGGCCTTTCATTTGGTAACTGACTGACATTTTCCTTGTGGTGTTCCCATTTTTATCTCTCAGTGAATATTGTCTGCTTTACTGGTCTATGCTATTTTCTTTATTAAATTATTTAAAAAATAAGTAAACTAAAATAAAGTTGTCTCGTCCTCAAGTGCTGTTATCTTCAAACTGAGAATTGTGGCACTCACGGATTAAGAGGAGGGGCTCTGGGAGCGCATGTTCAACATGCCATCAGCTCTCCCTTTTCCAGGAGATGCAGAGTTTGTGGTTGAGAGAAAAGCAGTGGCTAATACAGTAGTGGACTTGGAAATTTGCTTTTCTTTATCTTTTTGTATATTTCTACACATGGTTCGATCCTGGAAATCACATTAGAGCAGACTGTTACAAAGTGGGTACTTTTCCAGAACAGTGACTAAAGAGATTTACAGTCACGTGTGTTCCACATGAGCATAATACTAATCGTGTGACATAAGTACACTCGTGTTCAAGTGCACCACACGTGCGTTGTAAGTGGAATGTGGTGTTCTGGAAAGACAGTGCAACATATTCTACAGATTTAATCTCTGACTTGTATTCTGGCTAAAAGAGTAAACTAAATAGACTTTGTCATTTTTACCTTACAATTTGAAGAAAACAGCAAAAACAAAGCACTGTATAGAGGACTTTGAACTGAAATGGTCCTTTAGAATTTTTCTCTGAAATTTAGAACTGTATTGAAAGTCCTAGTTTAACAAGTGTTATTGATGACTTTTTCTCCATGAAAATAGAGAAGAGGGAGGGCTGTTTTTGGGGTCTTCTTTCCTGTGTCACTTCATTAGTGGTTGCAGATGGGCCCAGCAGTATTGCTCTGGTACTGAATCTGAGTTCTGCCCCTTAGGAGCAGTAGTGCTGTTGAGATTTTCATTTTTGTGTTGGGTTCCCGGGAAATGACATTTCATTACACTTGTCAAAACACACGTCCTGAGAAGTCAGCTGTTCAGAGACCAGCTCTGACACGTTCTCGAAGTTGTCACAGGCCGTCTTGACCTTTTTACTCTTGCCTTGGACTTGATGTTTGTGTATGTTTGAAATTAATTTGCAAATTATGATACTTCTTTTCGTGTCGAACACCGTGAAGGCTGGGAGACAAGCGAGGATATAGAAGGATGGTCCTCCAGAGTTTAAATTGCTGTGCCCTGCAAGTGCTGAGTGAATGAAAGGTGTTAAGTTCAAGTTCAAAGTTAAAATTAGTCGTGAATTTCATTGGTTTTAGATGGGTCATGTATGTTTTGTGCTTGTGAAGAAAAGTCAAGTAGATTTTGGTCTTTAGGCTGAGAAATATGTGGGAGGTGCCAGTGAGAGCCTGAATGGCAGCCTAAACATCCCAAAGAGGCCTTGGACTGGCCGGTGGATGGATTCTGGTAGGGCGATGTCATGCGTCTAGCCCAGATTTCTAGCATGTAACTCAATATAGGAATTTTAGGAACATTTCCAGCAGTGTGTTGTGTTTCAAATGAATGGTCTGCGTGTTTGGAGGTAGGAAATGCTCTCTCCTTCTTTTAGACAGCCTCATCACACTCCTGGAGTTGGAGACTGTCTTCGGCAGCAGTTGGGGTCACGTCTTGCATGGACTTTAACTGCAAACCAGCCTTCTTCACAAACCACTACCTCAAAAGGTCTCCCAAACACTGTTTCTCGCAACGTGACAAGACCAAGGAGGGAAGGGGATGCCAGTGGTGAGTAAGGATAGATCCTAACATGGGTTTTCTTTGCAATCTAGATTTTGTGCTTCCCGTGTTTGAAAACACTGTCGAGGCCCTGCTTACAACCATTGAAGGCCGGCTTGTTCTCATGATGAGAACTTCAGAGTCCTAAGTATGGTCCGTGATGCCTCAGCAAGTCGGGCAGTGCCTGGGACATTGGAGAAACGCACTGAAGATTTATTTGATGGTTAAACAGACACCTCGCTGAGAGTTTTAGAGCTCTGCTAGATCGTAAAAGAAAGTTTGCATTTCTTTCCCAAGAGCCCTTCAAATAGCAGTGTTTGGAATGCTTCCGAGAATAGAGGAATGGGCTTCGTTGTTGGCTCATAATCCGCAGATTCTATAATCCCTCCTGCCACCCTCCCGCCTGCTCCCCCCGCTGCTCTCTGTTCTTGTGCAGAATGTGAGGACCAGGTGCGTCTTGTGTGGACCTGGGAACACAGCCCAGAGTGCACAGCCCGGCCCGTGCAGCCACACTTCCTACCTGGATCCGTCGTGTAACCCTGACAGCTGGGGGGGGGGGGGGGGGGGACGACACTGTGACTGGGCGGCTGGCTTCCAGACAGCGAGAGTGCCCCTCACTGCTCCTCCTTGTTTGCTGTGACTCCTGGCCCCTACCAGGGCCTTCAAGCCTGCGTGGCACACACAGCTCACAGATAAAAGGACTTCACAGTGTACTTGATCAGTCCCAAAGAGCAGGAGAGGAGGTGCAAAGGAAGAAAGAACAGGCAATAAATAGGAAACATACTGCAATGCAGGGAGTTTAAATCAAACACGTCTGTAGTCACATTAAATGTGTATAGATTAGACAATTCATTTAGTTTTTAAAAAATTACATTTAGACCATTATGTACTGCTTGAAAGAGATATATTCCAAATATAGAGACACAAATAGGTTGGCAGTAAATGGATGGAAACACGCATCTTGTATTTAACCATGGAAGACAGGCTGCTCCCTCACTGTCAGAGTAGACGCCGTAGGAGTGTCATCAGGGCAGAGGGATGTTTCCTAACAGGGAAAGGGTCAGTTCTTCAGGAAGGAATAATGCTCCTAAATGTGTATTCACCTACCAACAGCTTCAGATGCACAGTGGAAAACCAACAGACCTACAAAGAAAACAGACCCACAATTACAGTTGGATATTTCAATTTCTCTCTCTTAGTAACTGATGGAAAAGGCAGACAAAGTAGTCAGTAACGACAGGTAGATAACATTTGAACAATTTTGCCTGTAGTTTGGTGGCGTTGATATTTATGGAATATTATCCCCACAACTGAAGTACGTACCTGTCCTTACCTTCTGACTCACTACCCTGGTTCTGGGAGTGCTGGGCCCTGACTGTGTACTCATTACATTTTTCCTCCCACCGATGTCTTGGGTTTCTGAGCATTGCCTCTTTGTCGTTGAGTAACACCTAAATTCTGACTTAGCTTTTGTTCCAAAGTTTATGGAAATCATAACTTTTCTATCGTATTCGCTTCTTTTTATGTGATTGAGAATGGAACCAAGTTCATACTCATGCCGTGGAATAAATTTTGACAAACGCCGTCTGTGAAATAATTACCCATCCCTTTGTGATTGGTTGTGAAATCGGCTTCACGCCACAACGCGGAGCCCAGTGCGAGGCTTGAACTCATGACTGTGAGGTCAAGACTGGAACTGAGATCAAGAGTTGGACACTTAACCAACTGAGCCACCCAGGCACCCCTGCTTTTTTAAAAAATTTCTAAAGACTTTTTGTATAACAAATTCTATGATCTCCATATCTTTTTGAGAAAACTCTTGGTTTTTAGGACTTCATACTTTTTCCATCTTAAGCTCATTTTTTTTAATTTTAAAATTTTCTCCTGGTTGAAACACGTAATGTAAAACTAGGTGTGGTATAAAATAGATTCCATCTTAAAATGTGTTGTTCAGTAATTCCTCTTACAAAACCCATGTTTCAGGTGCTGGGGAAGTTACGGAGGCGGCCCTCGTGCGGGACATTGTGTACGTCTTCCAGGGCATAGATGGCAAGCACGTCAAGATGGACAGCGTGGAGAACCGCTACAAAGTGGAGGCGAAGGTACAGTTACCGGCCCCCCGTGTGAGGTGTGAGGTGTTCAGGCAGGAAAGACGGGTGTCGGTACAGCCGGCCGGGAGCTATTAACCTGTAGGGGCGACAGGTGCACTTGGGGTACTGGACCCCCAGAGCCGGTGTGCCGGTTGGGCACACGGGTCTGCCTCCCCGCGGGCTTGTGGCTCTGGTGCTTTTGCTGAGACCTTGCTTGCTTCTCTTTCCGTGTCTTCTCGTGTTCACGGATGCAGCCACCCACGAGCTGACTCCTGCTCTTGGTGATGGTGGTGTCGAGGCACCCGAGGGGCGGGTGCCACTCGGCATCTCTGCAGTTGGTACACCATTCCGGATAAGGTGCCTCCACTTGCCTGCTTTCCCCTTCTGGAACCTCCTTCCCCACGGCCCTTTCGTGTTGATGTCGTGGTCTTTTGCAAGTCCCGGCCGTTCTAGGACGTGGCTGACGTCACAGGGCCCCTGCCGTGCCGGGGAGCTGGCCAGCTACGTCTCAGGGTGATGCTGCTTGAGCCTTACACTTGCACAGAGAGGTTCTACTTCCCTTCCTTGCTGGCACCTGCTGCCCTCGTTTCCCAGACTCTTGTTGTTCTGTCTTGGTGGTGGTGCATTCGTTACTTGTAAGTGCCATGTGTTGGGGCCTAAGCATTAGGATACTAAAAGTGCAAATGGTTTAGAAAAGCAATTGAAATTCTACTGTTAATTTTTAACTCTTGATATATTTACTTTTTAGGCAAACCTAAGTAAATCTTTGAGGGATACGACAGTCAGACTTGCTGAGTTGGGATGGTTGCATAACAAAATCAGAAAATACACTGACCAGAGGAGTCTAGACCGTTCGTTTGGACTTGTGGGTCAGGTATGTTTGTTGTTACCACAACATTTAGGATGCCTTCATTTTGGGGAGTGCATAGTCTACCTAAAATCTTACTATGAAAGTAATTCTTGAAAAGAGGGTTCTTTTTAAGTAAGGAAGTTTTGATACTGCAACACTGGAGCCATCCTGGTCCACTCGAGAAAATAGAGACCACGGTGAGTATTGACAGAGATAACCCAGTACCACACATGGTTCACGGTAGCTGTTGGTGGAGTGTGAGCACAGAATACATAAATGCATTAAAATAAACCTGCAGGGGCGCCTAGGTGGCGCAGTCGGTTAAGCGTCCGATTTCAGCCAGGTCGTGATCTCGCGGTCCGTGAGTTCGAGCCCCGCATCAGGCTCTGGGCTGATGGCTCAGAGCCTGGAGCCTGTTTCCGATTCTGTGTCTCCCTCTCTCTCTGCTCCTCCCCCGTTCATGCTCTGTCTCTCTCTGTCCCAAAGATGAATAAACGTTGAAAAAAAAAAAATTTTAAAATAAACCTGCAGATGACTGACGGTGTATCACTTTAAGATACTCAGAACAGTGTGGAGCCTGATCTTTAAAGAGAAGAGGTTTTATCCTTTGCAGGTTCTTTCCACTGAGGTCCCTGGGTTTACATTCTAGGGTTCATTCTAGAAAGTTTTTGTCACAGGACTGTGTGATGGTCTTTCTTACAGATTCTGGTTTGACGTCTTTTTAGTATTTAAAAAAAAATTTATTTACTTTGAGAGAGAGACAGAGTGTGAGCGGGGGAGGGGCAGAGAGCGAGGGAGACACGGAATCGGAAACAGGCTCCAGGCTCTGAGCTGTCAGCACAGAGCCCGACGCAGGGCTTGAACTCAGGAACTGAGAGATCATGACCTGAGTTGAGGTCGGTTGCTCAACCGGTTGAGCCACCCAGGCGCCCCTCACCTTTTCTGTATTTAAGATCCTAGAAATACAAAGAAGTTTTTAATAATACGGGTGTGGAAAATGAGCGGTACAAACAACACTGAAAAACTGGGAGAAACTGGCATGGAGTTGCCAGTTTTTAAATTCTAATTAAAAACAGAGAAAATTACATTTTTAAAAATGTTTTATTTATTTCTGAGAGAAAGAGTGTGAATGCAGAGAGTGAGGGAGGGAAAGAATCCCAAGCAGGCCCTGCACAGTCAATACAGAGCCCTACTCGGGGCTTGAAGTCAGAAACCTTGAGATCATGACCTGAGCTGAGCTGAGCTGAAATCAAGAGTCAGACGAACCCCTCAGGTGCCCCCGAGAAAATGACATTTTAACTGTAAAGATTTAGAGGGGATATAATATTAAAAGATTATTGTCAAAGTGAATATACGTTTAGCTGTAATCTGATTTTCCAACTGCAAAGCTCGTGCTGGGGGAGAACACCCCCCTCGTGCGATGAACTATGGCCATGCTGGTGGGTAAAGCTGCCGGCAGGCCCCCGGCAGAAGCAGAACTTAAACCAGCAGAATGTACCAGTCGTGGTCCAGCGCTGAGCCTGTGGCGATCAGATGCGCTGGCGCGTGAGGGCTGTGCTGTGTGTTCACGACGCCTGCTTTTTCCCACGCAGAGCTTTTGCGCGGCCTTGCATCAGGAACTGAAGGAATACTACCGATTGCTGTCTGTCTTACATTCCCAGGTAATGCTTTGCTTGTATTTTAATTTCTTCATGATTTGCCATCATACAAAATTGCAACTATATAGAGCTTTTAAGTTTCTTTGTAATTACTTTTAAAAGATAAAAACGTTTGCTAATGCTGTTCGTGAGGTCTCGATACCCATGGAGTTTCAGTGTATTCGAGAGGCAATTAATGCTGATTTTCAGAATTCTGTCTACCATTTCACTTGATCTTAGCCAAGAGGCTGAGAAGTGATCTACCATTTCAACCGATGACTAGTGGCTTGAAGAAACTATTGTTCTCTGAGGGGACCTGTCGCTTCGTTTTATGAGAATAATCCGCTCCCCATGCTGACTTCCGTGGATTAAGAAATGGTGGACATATTTGGTGACTCGTGTTTACATGTTACGTCTTTGTTGTTTTTCAGCTACAGTTAGAGGATGATCAGGGGGTGAACTTGGGCCTTGAGAGTAGCTTGACGCTCCGGCGCCTCCTGGTTTGGACATACGACCCCAAGATAAGACTGAAGACTCTCGCGGCCCTAGTGGACCACTGCCAAGGTTGTTTTGAGTCTCGTGGACCTGCTTTATTTCAAAGCAGGTTTTAGAGAATTACATCTGCGGTCATTTGCGTGCCTGCTCTCGTGTATCCTTGACAGCCATAAATGTGCAGATTATGTACAAGTGCGTAGATCACTTATAGGGAAAGTCACCAGTTGCTGACATGGCCCCATATTTATGTTTGTGGAAGCTGAGTAGTTCATTGAAATGAGGGAAGAAAGGAGAGGGTGTCTAGTTTGTAAGCATTTTGTGGTCCTTGGTGTTGTAACTGTTCATCTCTAAGCCCCTTTTACTTGTCTCTGGCTCAGCAGCCTTCCCTGGGGGTTTCCTCTCCCGAGGTTGCGGCCCAGGTCTGGGTCCACAAGCTAGGTGTTACAAGTCCTCCAGCTTGCCTGTGTGGGTGGGGCCTCTCCCAGGCTCTGGCTCTGCATTTCTACCTGCCTTCTGAACATTTTTTCTCTCTGTTGGAGCTACCTTGGCCAAGAACCTCTTTGTCTTTTCTTCTCTGTAATGCTGGGGCGTCAATGGCCTCCTCTTAGGATTGTGAGAACTGAGTGAGGTGGGAGAAGCTGAGGGTCCGCCCCTAGGTCATGGCCCTGTGTCCGCTGCCACCCTCTTCTGTCTGTGTGAGCACAGGGGCCGGGACTCCAGCATGTGTGGTCTGAGCTCGCCAAGCTGTCCGTGCCCTGCCTCCTCTACTTCCTGCCACCTCCCCTCAAAAAGAGAAAGCAGTCAGGCAAAATATGTGTCTTTTCTCAGATGATGAGCACCCCCATGTGGTTTCCTTCTAGACTCTTCCTCTGTCTCTCTCCCCAGTCCCCGCCCCTTTCTGTGTGCACTGAGTCCCTCGTGTCCTGGACCTCCAGCTCCTTCTGACATCTCTGCCCCTCCCTCGGGCAGCTGTGTGTGCTCCTGCCAGGAGCATCTCAGTAACATCGGGTCACATTAGACCTTCCTGAAAATCTTTCAGCAACCTAATCAAATCCTGAATTCTTACTGTAAGAAACTTTCTGTGTTTGTGTTTTGGGGCCTGATATTTGCCACTGCCAGTGCTTCATCCTGAGCTGTGCTCCCCGGGCCCGGGACTCTTCACCGTGGCAGGATTTTTCAGAATGGGAGTTCTAGCCACTTAATGGGGTTGTAAGATGAGTTTGGTAAGCCGAGACTAGCGTGTTGTAGTAAAGGAGGAAAGGAAGAAAATAGGAAGCATTAAAGTGCAAGTACTGTTTTGTAAAACTTTCATATTTTCTATGTGTTTATATCCCTGACTGCAGTATAAAGTGTGAGTCTTAATGCGTGTCTTGGTAGGAAGAGGTGACAGTTCATGATCCAGCTTGAGTAACGAGTCAGGGGTGTTGCTCTTGAAAAACCCCACAGCGGCTGCGCAGAGGTAGGGGAGTGCCTTGCTCTGACTCGTGAAGCCTGGGGCAGGCTGGTGCTCTCTCTGTTCCTCAACACGTTAACTGCCACTCCTCAGTCCCAGATGGTAGCCAGGGAACACTGCATCTCGATGACCTGGTCTCTGCCGGGAGTGTAATTCGGGTGTTTTGCATGTGTCCCCCAGGGAGGAAAGGAGGTGAGCTGGCCTCTGCTGTCCACGCGTACACGAAGACGGGGGACCCGTACGTGAGGTCCCTGGTGCAGCACATTCTCAGCTTAGTGTCACATCCCGTGCTGAGTTTCCTGTACCGCTGGATATACGACGGGGAGCTCGAGGACACGTACCACGAAGTAAGGAGCGCCGTTCGAGTCTCCGGCTACTCTCTTGAGTTTTTCTCCCTGGGAACTGTTTCCTCTCGACTGTAATGCCACCGCACTGCACGAATGCCGTGCGTGTTTTGTGCGGTGCTTTGAAAACCAGTTACCTCTGAGCGACAGAGCCGCCTGGGGTCCGTCGGAGATTATCATCCCAGTTTTAATGGTGGGAAAGTCAGAAGGCCAAATCCCCTGGCCAGGTTTGCGGCAAAGCCAGACCTAGGTGTCACGTGTTAGTCCTTGTGTGGTGCAGTATCGCACGCTCTGTCACTTTGCAAGGTCACTTACTGAGGCCCTGGCACTTTTTTTTTTTTTTTTT